TGTGGGCCCCAGAGTCGGTCTGGACGCAGAGGCTAGAGGAAAAAAATCCTCTGCCCCCGTCGGGGATCGAACCCCAATCGCCCAGCCCGTAGCTAGTCACTATACTGACTGAGCTATCGCGGCTCATGCACAGCTATGGTTACTGGAGCCAAATTTAGGATGGGGGTGAGGGAGGGAGAACCAAATACTGAAGAACAGATACAATCATATGATATATTTTCTGTTCTTTCAGTTACTGCAGAAAAAATGCCAAACTGCTGCCACTGCTCCATAAGACTTTTTTAAAATGTTGCAAATATTTTTATGGTTACATCACATGAAATAAGATACCGAAAAACAATCATATTAAAAGATATGGAGGGAAGAATCAAATGGAGGCACTTCTGCAACTTGCCATAAAAGTAAAACAATAAAATATGAAGACATAAGAACAGTTCAGTTATTTTTCTTTCAAAACTTTGCAGCTTTTCAGTCACACTTCATAACTGCAATCAAGGCAGTTTGAACAAATAACAGTAAGTGTCCCTCCGCAGTCCCGCACCTCGCATCGCACGTCAGCTCGGTTCAGTCTGCAGCGAATGAAGCAAGAACAGACTAATGAGATGAAAACACAATGACCGAAGCAGAACTGCGTGCTCTAGCGCATAAATATGCTAGAGCTATGGTAAAGTCTTGCCCCACAACTTGCGAACTTAAGATGCATGTCTCCTAGCTTTTTCTACTTTATATGTGCATCTTCTACATGATAAGTCATTTTCTGAAACCACATCACATATCTTGTTGATGCTGTAAGGCTGGCAGTATTTCACCCTCCTGCTGTTATGATGGTCTTAGAATGACCATTGTGACCAAACCTGCAAGTTCAGAGTACAGTATTTTACACAAGACCCAAAACATACGAGGCTATGCACTGTCTCCATTAATCCCTTGTGCATTATGTTTTCACAAGCTTCTCTAATGCCCCATGCTCAGCATTATTTTGTAACTTTAGGTCTTTCATTAGTTACTGTGATTTAATGCATGCTTCTTATTTGTCTCTTATCTTACATCTGTAAATCTTACTGACAAGACTTGCAGACATCATTTTCACTACCTTATCCCTATATATATAGTCACTGTTACTGCCATGTTTAATATTACCAACACATGACTGCTTTCAAAACAAAATTTACCCTTCCAATGAGACAAAGAAGTATCACTGTGCCTCCAAACAGTTCTGTAAATCTCCTACAGATGTCAGTACATTTGCCCAGTTGTGTAATCAGTCAGACTTTGATATCCATAGGACAAGGAAAATAGTGGGTTAAATGCTTCCATTGTGGTGCCTGCCATTGGTAGCATGAAAATGGGTGCCCTTCTATACATGCACTTAGGGGTGATGAGAATACCCATCGCCCTGATGATTGAGGCAGCAAGGACCTCTGAAATGTCGGTAAACTTCTACCAGACTACACGGTGCGACAACCCAGAAGACAGTCATCTACAGACTCACTGCTCTGAAAACTTCAAATCGTACATGTACTCCATGTTCTTTTCCAATGCCAAGGCCATTATTTGGCACATTTCAGTCAGCAGAACATACCTGAAATGTCACTTGTCATTAAAGTTTTTCCAAAGCTTTTATTCTGTCTCAGGATTCTTTGATTTCTGATGACAAAAAACCTTCCGACTATCACCGTTTCAAACAACTACTTCTTCCTCCAGTCTTTCATACTTCACTAACATCATATTTTACATCTGCAGCATGATTTCCAATTCCTTCTACCTCTTGAATAATTTTACATTTTCCAATAACCACGAAAGATCATAAATGCATGTGTGCAGTACCACACAGATTAATATTCATTCACACGCCACAGCTGCTTGTGGCTTGGCATGTGGACACAAACAGGAATTGTGAAAGTCAACATGACACTTGAAATAAGCAGTGTTGCCAAACATGTTACAAATATAATAACATCCAATTTCTGTTTCAGGAAAAAAAAATGTGCAGGTTGTTTGAATTACATACATGTGTTACGTGACTTACCCGTCACAAACTACTTAATTTAAACATAACAAAAGTATCAATTAAAAGATAAAATTACAAAGACAGGAAATGTTTTCTCTATTCTGTGCTTATATGTGTTAGGCAGCATGTGTTTCCTCAATTCTTCTTATTTAATTATAAATATAAATTCCGCTGTCTTGTGGTTTCTCCCAATTCATAGCCAGAAAAAATGAAGTGTGAGAATTGGGGACAAAATCAAAAGATCAACTAAAAGACACTGAGGACTAGCACATTAAATTTTATGAGTTAATAAAAGACAGGTGTCCACGTGTCACTGGAGACACTGAATTAAAACTACATATGGCAGAACTACTGAAGGTTATGTAATTTAAGATGGCAGAAAAGATAGATTATTGCACTACAAAAAAGAGAATAAAAACCATAGATCGCAACACAATACATGTACTGGATGTCCTATCTGGAAACTTGAGAACCAACACACTTTTAAAAAAATTAAAAACATGACAATGCTTAAATCTGCTAGACCACCCAGAAAATTCACATGGAGATGACAGCTTTAATTCCCTGTGAAACATTTTCGCTTATCCGATGAGTATGGAGTGACGGAGTGGAAACGTTTTGCTCCGACACTATCTAATCTACTCGAGCGACACTTCTGATTTAGGTACATCACAGTCAGTGTAAAAGCTGAGCAACTGCTTCCTAAGATCAAATATGCTACATGTACTTATGCCAAATTTTCACTTCATCATTTCACAGAAGATCCTTCCTCTAACTCCACTCCGCATAAAATGCTTTCTTCTAGCACTCTCACTAGCATGTACACTTCCTACTTGCCTTTTATGCATGTCTTCGATAAAAGATGGAGATAAATAACCACATAAACTGACACAAAAAGGTTGGATAGAACCAAGGGGCAATATGTGCCACTGAAACAAAGCGGCCAGCAACATTTCTGGTCCTCCAAGATTTCTGGACCCCAGATAAGAGGTTCAGCACCATAGTTTATTTGACAGGAACTTTCTGGGTGTGAAATAAAAATGTAAACACCCAAAACAGTGAAAAAAAAGGACTGCAAGATATTTGAAAATGAAATTCAGGGAATGAAAGTCTACATGAAACTGGAAATTATAATTGGGTAAGATCAGTGCCCTTGAAATCCAAGTATGTTTGTGTATTCCGTTCACTACTTACCCAGCACATATGCAAACACCAGCTTCAGGTGAGATGTGAGATGCAAATATGTAGGAAATCTTGTATCCTCATCTCCTTGTGTAGGCAGCAATAGAGCCAAAATGCACACTATTGCCGCCACAACCACCACATAGTTCGGAGTCTGTACGCGGCCTGCAAATAAAAAACAAAACAAAATGAACTAGTAGTGCCGATCTCCAACAACCACAAAAGATGTGCACGCATAAAAGCAACCAATTCTTGATTTAAAACACAAATACAAAGAAAGCTAAAATGGAAGTGCTCATTACAAAAGATGTCACACTTCTCATTCCAATGTTTCTGTCCAAAAGGAGGGATGCAACCTGATAACAATTCAGTCTCGTCAACTTACAAAATAATAAAGAAATACCACACTTACATTACAGTAAGACAAGGTTGTCACCTTGGTCTCAGATTGTTGACATAACAATATTTCTAAAGCAAGTGCTCTGATTCAAGCATCATTCACTTTAGTTCAACAGAACAAAGTTGTTAGAAATAGAAAAACACACTTGATGGATTGCACCATTATCGGTCAACCAACAAATGTTTTTCGATAGCGTCTGGGGACAGCGCTGTCTGTTTACAGGTTTGCAGTGTCTCCTGGAGAGAAGCAACATTGGGCAAAGTTATCTTATGTACAGTCTACTGTAAAAAATGACGGTACTTGTGGGTTATCGGAACATATTGCTTTAAAAATAGGTTAGGTTAATGTGTGTGTGGATAACGACATATGCTTGAAAGTTATTATATTTTATTTCAACGGGTATACTGATACGCATGAGCAGTTTTCCGTGCAAACCAAGTACAGATATTCGACTCTCCCGTTTTGTGTCCCGATAACCAACAAGTACCAAAATGATGGAATGATAATGTTCACATGACTGTGTGTGTGTACAATATTACTTATACTCGAGCATCATGTCCTCACATTATCACTGGTGGTGTTGACTACTATTACTATAAAGGCTGAGTAATGGAAGAGCTGTACACAATTTATGCAACTTCATCTGTTGTGCAACCATGAATTTCTTATTATCACAGCTGTATGGTAAGTAGGCAATCTACATGATCTATAAGCTTCCCTTTTTTCTCCGTTGGTAAATAAAACTTGGGTCAGTTATAAGTCAAATATGATAGTTGCCAGAAAAGTCTGTTTTCACAGAAATCACTGAATCAGGTAGCTCTCTATAAAATGTCTTCACTTGAAAATTGAAAGTCTTTCAAAACAGAAGTGAAAGTTGCCATGATACACAACGGCAACGCTTCTTGCAATGCTTTTGTACACTAATGTGCATTTGCCCTCAAGCAACCTGGCTTTTGTTAAATCAATGTTTCTCATACTTACTGAGCATAATTAGGTATGTTTCACATGACACCCAGCGCTTCACAACATTATAAGACATTTAACAATGATTTTACACTTGTAAAAAACAGACAGTTGCATGAAAGCTGTTTTACTATAATACCAGAATGGAACACTGCAGCATTGCTAATAGCTTACAAATGGGCCTTATGTCACACATGCCACACACCCCTACCTTGCCTGTAGTCACGTGCATCAAACGGCTGCTGCAAACTTCCAGCTGCAGACAGATCTAGCCTAGGAGGAAGCCTCTGAAATACTTCATGATCTAATACTGGACCACTCTGTTTCCCTGGCAGCAGAGTGGCAGCTACATCTTGCTTCCCTATCGACTACAAACATAATGAGCTTGATGAATAATCTTTTATCAAGTTAGAACAAATTCTTCTCAGGCTACAGCCATCAGGTGGTTGAAAGGTAAAACACCGGCATTTTGAGAACCATCCTCATTCTTGTCCTGAGGGTACTAAAGACCGACTTCAGCACCTGGAGGACAAGGGCAAAGATGGTTCCCGAAACACTGGCGTTTTCTTCATTAAGCCACTTGACACGGCTGGTAGCCCGAAAATAATTCATTTCACTTAGTCACTGTGAAAGCTTCAGATCATACGTGTATGGAGTTACTAACAAACCAATGTTTTGGTATAATTCTGGAAGAAGACAGGAAAACACTTTAAAGAACTTAAAATTATTCATTGTCAGGACTTTTTCCTTCGTCTGTTCTTTAAAACCACAACGTTTCCGAGGCTGGTTCTGTCTCCATCTTGTCGTGGTTTTAAAGAACATACGATGGAAAAAGTCCTGACAATGAATTATTTTAAGTGTAAACTACCTCGTCAAAACCCTTTAGAATTGAACTTTAACAGACCTTCAATTCTACTAAATAAACGTACTCAGGTATGAAGTGGCCTTTCAACTCAGTTACAAAGAAATGTGGCAACTTGATACAAAAACATTTATATAAAATAACCATTTCCCTTAAGAATGTCTGATGTGAAATCAAACCGTGCGTCTTTGCTGCCTTTTATAACAGCAATAAAACCGAACAACTTCCTTTCGCCTCATTTAGTTATGAACTGCTGCCTGATCTTTTATTCTGGTTTTTCTTGTCCTGAACCTTGTATCAGCCACTGCTACCAAATGTTCTGTAATAATTAGCACGCATACTTGGCTGAGCATGAAATTCAACATAATTCAACTTCCACCTAAACTTATATTCAATTTTGATGAGGAAATGGTGAGGAATGGTGTCAGTGCTCTTAATTAAATCAAATGAATGTACGCATGACTAGGCGTGTTAGATTATAATCAAAATATATGACACTGAATGAAACGGCTTTCCCTCTGTTTATATCTACACACGCCCTCAAGTTCTTATTGATTAGCCTGTCTGGAGGCTTAACGATAGCCCGATCACCATACAATTCAACAACAAGCTGGTAATTTGTCATGAGGAATCTCCGTTCAAAGAAGAAAGCTGGGTCAACTTATGATTGGATGACAAAGAAAAGTTTAAAGGGATTTTTATCAGGATGTTTTAAGCTAATTATTAAGTGTTATTATAAAAAGTAAAAAAAATAGGTCTAAGAAAATGTAGTTGACTCTACAAACTGAGATAATTTTTCAACAGATTATAATAAAGAGATCTGCAGAAAAGTGATGATAGACTCAATAACACATCACACTCATTCAAACATGATGAAAATGTTGTTATGCATTCTTTGCAAGAAGTGCATAATGAGAATGCATTATGGGCTGGTCATGTCTGTCCAGTTCATTCAACTCAAGAAACACTGGACAGGTTTGGATAAAATTTGATATGAAGGCTGCGCTATTCTGCATGACCCCAAAATCATATTTTGGAGTATCCCACAACTGGTCATCAGAAAGTTACGGATGAGAAAATTAGTAAGGCAGACACTGATGTGCTGTGATTTGGTGGCCAATGTGAGAACTATGAAACAAAACAGATTTAATACCTCCAATTGTAAATTTCAAAGAACACAAAGTATATTACGTGTATTCCGATATGGAATACACTTTCGAGCTTGTTTCCGCAATGGTTACGATCTTGATCTTCGTATAATTAAATTTTACATTTGCTATCATACAAGAAACTCCAATTACCAAGACACAGCACAGTCTCAGGTGCATTTGATTCCACGTTATGTAGCTAAGACCTAGTGAACCCTGACGGTAGTAAAGGGATATCGTGATCCTTGTGAAGTCCTTTGAGCAAGAAGACTTAGCAAGTGGGTCGCTGAGTTCATGCACGACTCACCTGCTTGGTTGTGTGGTTCTGCAAATATATCCTGAACTTGTCAGTGACGTTACAATTGGCTGGTGAGATGGCACTGTGTCTGACAACAATGTCAATACAAAACTTGGGCCTGATGGAGCCTTCAGGGTCCACAACCGTGTATTTGTTCGGTGCTGTACACAGAACTGAAACAGTAATACAGTCAGTGAGAACGAACCTCCTAGAAGCAAAACTGGTGGGCAAGTTAACAGACTAAGTAAAATTTGAGGTTCTAACAGAGGTGCATAGGAAGATGGCTGCCTTCTAGGTTGTACCTTCGAGTAGTCTGGTAGAAGATTACCGATGTTTCAGAAGTCCTTACTACCTCCATTATCAGAGTGATGATTCAGCAAGAACCTCTGAAATGTTGGTACATTTTAATCAGACTACACAGCACTATAACCCAGAAAACATCCTTTCAAGTTAACAGAACCTTGCAACCATTAGTAAAGAGAAGCACTGACACAGCATTTACTGAGAGTTTATAAAATGAACTGTTTCCAGATTAATCATCATGCATCAGAGTAAAGTGCACTGTAACACTGCCAACGTACAGTCAGTGCTTACCCCTGAATCTGATCGGGAAGTCATATGGATTGTAGAGGGTGAGAACCTGCTTGTGAGTGCTCTGATCTTCAAGATAGAAAGTAATGGGTGACGGGTACACAAACACTGGGACCTGTACAACGCCTGACTGCATGCCACTCTGTGCACCTGCAATAAATACAACACATTCACAACTAAAAGTAAAATTTACTGCAATAGTGATAAAAAAAACAGCTAAACTATCAACTAATAGCCTTTATTAAATAAAGACAGCCCTCATTATAATGATAAAAGATATATGAAAACTAGATGGATATAATTATAAAAAAATTATGTGCGATATTTTGCCTGTTATCTGGGATGACACAATAAATCAACCAAGGTAATTCAATGACTTTTTTGATGTTCATACATCACCATCGCAGATTTGTTACTCTTTCTCACAGATTCTGGAAGATCAAGTTTTTAAGAATTTTCAGACTGAGACCATAATAGGCCCCTGGCCTAACACGTGTAAGGCTGATGAAGACACTCACACCGTAAATTTTATGAACTCTTCCTAAAATCTTCGTGCATTCAAACAAATATCTAAATAGTTGTGAAGGTATAATGACCTGTGTAATGTTCATATAAAATGGTAACACCAAAGACTTGAACAATACCTACAGTCAGAATCCTATCTTCAAAACAACTTGTGATAGTAAGTGCAAGTATAAGCAGAAATGATTCTGTATTTCACAGAGACCACCAATATTTTTCAAATAAGCTTCTAAGTGTCCAGCACATATTCTGATAATAGTACTGATTATTTATGCAATCCTGCAACACAATACAAATAACATTGTCATCGCACGCATAAAAAGTACGCCTGACCAATAGCGTTTGTAAATAACCTCGAAACTGTAAGTGTAGCAAAGAGTACGGATGACAAAGAGTATAGGAACAGCAACAAGTGATATTCTTTGCCATAGCAAAATATACTCGGAAATGGCGAAAGAGGAACTGAGATCCAAATCAGTCATATCAGTTAACCTTAGTTAGCCGTCCATTTAATCTGTTCACAGCCTTCACCTAATCATACCATAGGATACGATATATTGGCCCTGGGATTTTATGTAATTACAAGTTATGTAATTTTAATTGACGCATTATTATTGTTGTTGTCGTCTTAGCACATATGGAAGTTTTGTCTTCAACATGGTGAATGAATTTGCAGAACTAAAAACTAGCCAATAAAGTTAAAATAACGATATATGTATTCATGATACAACCTTGTAGTAAAATATCTTTCAACAAAACTACAGTACTACCAACGAGCTACAGAGCCCTCCACCACAGTACACCTCCATACTGTGGATAGTAGAATAGAATGGAAAAGAATTTATTTACATTCCATAGATCCTTCATAGGCCTAAGCCTAGGATGTAGAATATGTCATAGCACAAATACAATATTTTTTTCTAGTAACAAATATAAATATATAGTTATAACAGTTATTGACAGATTTTTGGAACTACAGTACACAGCAAAATAATTATGATGAGAAACCATCATCATTATTACTTTCATGTATTTATAAATTCTTCTACAGAGTAGGAGTGAGATAGGAGATACTCTTTTAACGCTGGCTTAAACATTTCTATATCGTGGTTTAAACTTTTTATAGTAGGTGGAATATTATTAAATAACTTAATTCCAGCATAGTAAACTCCTTTTTGATATTTACTGAGGTAGTAGCAGTAATTTGATTATGGTCCACAGAGATCATTTAGTTAGCTGTTCATATGCCCTATGAGAGTTAAAACAGGCTGATAACTACCACTGGTCCACAACTGTTTGCAATAGTCAGGAAAGTGTGATATGTCTGTAAACGAACATTGGAATGTTGGCACACTGTAATTATTAACCGCTCCCCCCCTCCCCCCAGAACAGAACCCCAGTAGTTAGTACTATATACCATTGAAGACTCACGTGTTAGCAATAGAATTCTCAATTTAGAAGAATGTCTAATTAAGCACTGGAAAGAAGTGAAATCATGTAATGTCAGTACGTAATCATACTGATAGTCAATCACATGTCAGGATGCTACGTTGATCGTATTCATCTCAGAGGTATCAGTATGCCTCCAAGCAGCAGGAAAAAGTTAATCTGTGACATGTCTTCTGATGAGTAGCACCAACTTGTAGTAAAGCATAACCGTGATGAGAACCTTGACAGATTGAGTTGAGGGTAACATAGCCATTAATTGGCAATAAAAGGCCATGAACATGCATTCATAAGACTTTAACTGACCTAAAACATCTCAAAAACATCAGCTGAGTGGGTCATCAGGAATTGAATGAACAGGAAACTCCAGGAATAGTGGGAATACACACCAGAACAAAAACCTGCGAAGGGCTTCCTTCTAGAACCATCTGTGAAAGGAACTTGGGGAACTATTAAGATTAAATTGGAACCAGCTAAAATGAACTGCAGGATTATTAACAGGTTATTTTCACAACTAATTAAACTGGGATCAACAAATAACCCATCTGTGAGAGGTACCACATCAAAGAAGAAATTACCTCACATGTTTTGTACAGCTGTGAGGTCTCATATGAAGTAAGATTTTGTCACCAGGGTATGCACTTTATGGATGCACGAAAGATAGAAAAGAATATTGTCAGTTGCCACTCTTTCATTCAGTTAATGGTCATAACCATCAAACTACTGATAACTGTGTAGAAGTCAGAAAGAAATTTGCATTTATATCTAGAAATGAGAGCTTTTTATGAATGAAACAGTGTTATGCACATTAATTCTTGGTCAGTATTTTAATTACCCCTTTCCTCCCCCATGCATGGTGCACTACCTGACCACATCATCCTCCTTGATTTAATTAATCACCCTAACAATTTGAGGTTAGGATTACAGGCCATGAAGCTCCTCATCACCATTCAGTTTTCTCCATGATCCATATCCTTTCCTTTTTGGTCCAGATGTCTTCCTCAACAATCTGTTCTCAAAGACCCTCAATCTGTGTTCCTCCCTCAAAGTGAGAGACCAAGGTTTTCACCCATACAGCACAACTGGCAAAATTACACTTTTGTGTATTTTAATCTTTATTTTTTTTACATGAGGCGGAAGGACAAAATATTTTGGACTGAATGACAACAAGCATTCTCTGAATTTAATCTCCTTGATTTCATCATGAATGTCATCCCCAAGTACTTGAATTCTGTCACATTTTCAGATGATTCAATAGCTAACCTTATATTCTGGTTGTGTCCTGAATTCTGGCCATGAACTTTGTCTTTTCTGCATTTATTCCTCTACAAGTATTCTGGATTCATCAATAAATTAATGCTTTTTGTAATTTCTAAATAAAATTTTGTGTGCATTTCTCATCTTTTCCAAGCATGTTACAAATTTTATTAAAACATTTCAGTTACAAATTTTTTGATAAGTTGGGAGCTACATTGCTTCACATAAATGGACAGACAGATGAGAAGACTGATCTGATGTGGATAACAAACATATCACTCACAGTCTCTTAATCTTTGAAAACTACAATGAGCACCAAAATCCCTGAAACCAGAAGACAACCACAGTTGTCATGAAACATGTCTGTAACTGCTGAAAATTATGTTAACATAATGAAAACACTGTATTACCAACTTCTGGGCTGCAGAAGATGCCTAGGGTTTCTCTGCCACTTTATGGAAATATCTGGATGTTCTTGTAACAGAAATTTGGATATTTATTTCCACCAAATTTGACATATATAAAACAGATTATATCCAACAAATAATATGAAATTAATTCTTTACTAATCTAATAGAATGAAGCGTGACATGATATTCAATATTTTTTAAACTTGTGAACAGTAGAAATTCAATAAATGTATTTATAATTTTTCTGAAAATATTCAACTTACAAATATGTTCTTTTGTGTACGTTTATATAATACAAGACATTCCTTTCAGAAACCGTTCATTGTACACACCACAATAGCAATAATATTAATAATAATATAAAATGTGGCTGATATGTATTGCATGTGAATGCTACATTTTCAAAATTCTCATTCCCATCCTTTGCCCCTCTTAATATACATTAAATACAGTGTTCAGTACCACAAAAACTTTTCCACCGTCCTGAAGATCACTCCTCGCCATGTGGTGCTTCCCAGGGATGAGTGTCATTCTGTTATATATGTACAGTTATTAGACGGTATGAGCGGATGTGCGTACGTGCAAAACTCGATAGAATGCACCACATCTGACAAGATCATATTGCACATAGTATGGAGTACAGTGAGTCACAAGGAGCACGTGTTACTCCAGCAGACTGAGCTTGCTGTTTGTCTTTCTCAGCTGTGCGCGCCATGGGATAATCTGTTCTGGTTCGTCATTGTTCTCCAAGGAGGTCACCTCCTGCTGTTCTGGCGTCTTATTCTCCTTGTTGCCATCCTCGACTGCGGGAGTCACCTCGCTGTTAGACGGCAGTTGCTGTCTCAGAACTTCCTCGGGTTTTGAGGGTTTCGTCTTCTTGTCATCCATGACCCGAGGAGTATACAGATTTGTCCTGGAGACAAGTTCACATTGAAAATATTAGTGAAAAGATATCACATGACTTCATTTTGTAAAATGTAAATGACTAAAATATCCTCAGATGTGGAGACTTTCAAGTTGTCAGACTGATCACAGCAAATTCATGCTTTTTTAGTTCCTAAAACAGTGCTGTAATAAAATTCTATCATCTTATGACATTTTCCATACAAGCGACTGGATCCACTTTCATCAGGCCAGTAGGAATTATTACAATCATTTTAGTTATGATACTGCGTAGTCTCGTAGGTTGTTAATAAAGAGTTTGGAGGATCACAATGATCACCTGTAGGCAGCATAAATAGCTTAAGGGATGTACATAGGACTGACTGGCCGTCCGATGTACATTTCAACGTACGAGAATATCAGTGGCATGTTATAGTAAGCCTCATGAGAAAGGAAACATCAATGTAAAACTAAACTGTAGTTTTATTCTCCATTATTCAATTCAATTCAATTCAATTAATTTATTTACGTGTTTGCCAACAGCAAGAAGCCAATAACAGGCAAACACCGATAATATATACAATAATAGTGAAATAATAATGGATAATATTACACAAACGGATTAACTAAACTTATACATGTACAGTATTAAATATAACTGCCAAGTACAGGCAAACCCAAAATAGAAACAATATTAACACAGAGCAAAAAATGAAGAAATATAAATAAAAACAAACGTAACATAAAGTTATCATATTATAAACAAACCTAAATATTAGGTTGTGTGGTTAATAGCCATTCCAATGTATTTGAAGTGTTAGGTGCATAATTCATTCTACAAAACGCACCATTTCTTTGCCATTACACTCCTCTTACATCATTCAGTGGAGACATCGTTCTCTGATAAGTAGTTTAATTATTAATCATTGCATATTTTGATGTACTTCCACAACACAGTGTTCATACAGACACTCTAAATATCAATGTGCTACCTAGTTACTTTTCACAAAATATCAGTTTAATATTACGCAGAAATGCAAGATGATTTTAGGTAAAGCATTCTACGTGCTTCAAAGAATTAATCAGATAAGCGATGCAATGGTACAGGATGCTTACAAGAAATTCAAATGAAATGAAAAGGTAGACATGTTCCATAACACCTTCTTCTTCTTCTTCTTCATCTATGGCTCTCCGGCCCGTATTCGGTCCATGGCCTCCTCAATTCTCCTCTTCCATTCGGTCCTCTGTTAGGTCGGTCTGTCCGAGGCTTTGATTGAGGTTTCAAAACATCTTCCTTTTTATGGTACAAGGTTGTTAGCTTTGCGACCAACCCCCAACCTGGAGGACCAGGGTACCTGTCTTAGTCTGACCTCTCCCCCTACCAGTAGCTACCGCCAGCATAGCTCTTGGGATCACTGAGGTACTCAAGCCCCACAACCATGACAAGGTGCAGGTACCATTAAGTGAGGCCATGACACCTTAGCTCTGGTAAATGAATTTGGACTTTTACACATGTCAGACTTGCATACCACCTCACTGTTAACTACAGAGTTAATATCTGGCTGGCATTCCCACAATACACGGGAAGATCTTCTGTTCCCCTATGATACGGATTAATTAGCCATTAGTGAACTGTCTTTTTTGACATCTGTACTGCCTCCTCATATAAAATCATATGATACTTTGCACAATAGTTGTTATTTCACATGAGCATGTGAATAAGAGTAATGGCTACTGTCACAAATTGTTGGGGGGGGGGTCACAGTGGCCGCGTGGTCTAAGGCGTTGGCCTTGTGTCGCTCAGTCACCGAGGCCATGGGTTCAAATCCCACTCAAGCCTTAAGTAACGTACTGTTAAGTTAATTATTAAGGAAGATTGACACTGGACATGTATTCCGCATGTCATTACGACATCAGAAGGTTTACTGATTGTAAATAATAATCAGGGATGTTAAAAAAGGGAAGCATTTCTAGTGTAAATGAAAGAGAATGGTATGTCTACGTGGTAAAGCTCTCCTGCTACATGCCATGGAGGCACTTGGGGGAAGAGGTCAAAAGCTACTACTCATTCTTGACCTCAGCACTAGATGGGGGGTGAGTGGTCAGCATCCTGGCACCCCAGCCATGCTTTACTCCCAGACGGGAGGTTTAATGGGCTACAGGGCTCGTCTGCGTGCGGAGGCTAGAAGAGGGGCTACGTGGTACTCGCCCAAATTCATGTCGATCGTTGATTGAGATGTAATGTCATCGTTGCTTAACTTCTATTTATGTTTCTTTCTCAATAAAACCATAGTATTTTTGGAATTGAAGGAAATTAAAAATCAACTATAGCCCACATCAAACAAATTATTAAAGTAAACTTCAGAACAAATTGGCTTTTGCTGCGAGGTCTAACCCTCAGGGTACCAGAGGTAATCCAAATAATATTGCTGCTACCCTGACATGATTACTGCTAATTATTAACTAATGGTTAATCATCACATCAGTTACGTCATTTTTCCATTCAATTTGTCTGTTGTAGTTTGAACTCACTTCTTGCCATCATGCTCCTCCTTCTTGGCTAGAAGTTGTCGCTTCCAGGGGGGGATAGCTTGCAGGCGCTTCTCCTCAGCCTCCTTCAACATCTGCTCCTCCAGCTCCTTGCGGGCTCGCTCTGCTGCCTTCTTAGCCATCATCTGCCTCTTCCAGGCTGGAATTGGGTTACCTGTGGCATCCTTCTCTGGAATCTGTCAGAAGACTGAACTTAGGGGCGAGGTTTTACTGAACAGGCTCAACTCTTGACCGTCAGAAGCTACACTTGAAAATATTTGATTTTTTGTGTCTGTGTTAAACTGTTGTAAAAACTGTTGCTGATTCCTGAGATGATTTGAAGCATTTAAATTAAAATTGCAAGTGTAAAGCCATCTTTTCAGCACAGCATCTATGCTACATTGAACTTAGGGGCGAGGTTTTACTGAACTGGCTCAACTCTTGACCATCAGAAGCTACACTTGAAAATATTTTATTTTTTGTGTCTGTGTGAAACTGTTGTAAAAAGGATTAATCACTGCTGATTCCTGAGATGATTTGAAGCATTTAAATTAAAATTGCATGTGTAAAGCCATCTTTTCAGCACAGAATCTATGCTACAAAATCAGATTTACCTTATTTTCAGAATCATAAAGAACTGATATTTTACATATCAAAAGTGTTTGTAGTACCATTGAAGCCATATTGGTCATTACTAAAAGGAAAAAAAAGGGAAACATGAAGACAAAACTCTGTTTGGGATCAGTGATCTAAATTCAGAACAGGTTGCTGAAATTAAGCTACAGAGCTCAGTTTCAGATTGCAATGAAAAAGCCACAGAATATTCCATCAAATCATAAATCTAGCCCTTCATAATGAAAACTTCAACCGAATAATATTTCACCATTCAGGACATGAAGGAAATAATACAAACTGAAAGTTTTTGACAACGGGGCGATAAGAAGAGCACTTGACGTATGGAAGTTTAACAGAAGACTACAAAACATTGCATAAAGAGAAACTTCATAATTTGTAATGTTTACAAAATAGTATTAGAGTGATCACATCAAGGGATGAGGCACACAGCGTGCAATAGACACGAGAAATACATATAAAATTTTAGTCAAAAACATGATGAGAAGTCGGTGATTAAGTCGAGAAGAATGAGATGGGCGGGGCATGTAGCGCGCATGGATAGGACAAGAGGTGTGCACCGGGTACTGGTTGGGAAACCTGAGGGGAAGAGACCGCTGGGGAGACCTAGACGTAGATGGGAGGATAATCTCAGGCGGGATCTATGGGAGATAGGA